GCGGGGCAGTGTCCCAGGGGATCAACAGGGTGGAGTGAGCAGTTATCGCTGTTCTCAGTCCTGCCCTCAGAGGCCCTGCTTCTCAGTGTCCCGGCAATTGCTGCAAGGTCCCCGTAAGAAAGCTGCCCTCAAGTTCCGACTGATGCCAGACAGTCCAGTTTCTCCCGTATGAGTCTGAGTCCCCAGAGACTCGCCCGGAACTGGAGCTCAGAGCTTGAGACTCCCTCCCGATTGAAAAAGACAACCATGTCCTCAGCCGCCAACCCTCTCCGCATGTGCCTTTGTACCTCTGTATTTTACTTCCGCACCTCCTCTGAGTCTCGGTATGCTTTTCTCTTTCCTTCTAGTTGTAGAATTTCCCCTCAGCCAGCCTTCCTGTGGTTCTGGATGATGTCCGTTCCGTCTTTTACTTGTATCTTTGAAGTGGTTGTGCGAGGCAGCAATCTCCGGTGTTTACCTATGCTTCCATCTTGGTTTCTCCGCAACTCCAGCTTTGGTTCAGAATACCATTTTGACAACAGTTTGCAATTTGGCTCCCCTTCTCCCTTCTTCTCCTTCTTTGCTGAGGGCTGCTGCAAAGAGTGTTCATTATTTGCCAGTCTGTAGGTTCAATTTGCAGTTTGTTTTTTTAAAAATATTTTTAATTGACTTTTTAGAGAGAGGATGGGAGAGGGATAGAAAGATCCATAAAAGAGAAACTTCATAGATCGGCTGCCTCCTGCACGCCCCCTACTGGGTATCAAGCCCCAAACCGGGACATGTGCCCTGACCGGGAATAGAACAGAAATTGAACTGGTGACCTCTTGCTTCCTGGATCGATGCTCAACCATTGAGCCACACTGGCCCGGCCAGTTTGGGTTTTGAAACCCTGATAATAGAGCACAGAGGACAGGGTTGAGATTGAGAAGGGTGTATCTCGGAGGCTTCTGAGAGTATGACAACTTTGCTTGTGGGGCAAGCAAGGTGCTTTGAAATGTGAAAGTGTGTCAAGAAGGAATTCTAATGGATGTTGTGAACGTGTGGTCCCTGGAGTGGCTGTTCCTGGTGTTGGATGCCGTGGCGGGAGAGGAAGCTGTCCTATACAGTGGCGCCTTGACTTACCAGTGTCCCGACTAACAAGTTTTTTGAGATACCAGTGGTCTCTTGGCCGATTTTTTGCATTGAGTTGATAGAGTAATTTGAGTTAACAAGCTCCTTAATGAGGTTGGTCTCGGAAGGAATTAAACTCGTAAGTCAAGGCCCCACTGTATTGCAAAAGCCCTTGCATGTCATATTGAGAAAACACAGTGTTTATTCACCTGCTCGCTATTGTCTGCTAAGCCCTTAGCTAAGTGGTCCCAGGTAGGCTTATGTCATACCTATGAGGGGTGTGTGGAATTTAAGAGACTGCATTTAAGGTAGAATTTGGTGACACACTTCATATGGAGAGTAAATGAGAGAGGTAGGTTGAGTTTTTAAACATGGGTTCCCTGGATGAACAATTATGTTAATTTTCAATAGAGGATTAAGTTAATTTCTGAGGTGGAGGATGAGAAAAAGTAGGTGGGAGACAGATGAGCTCCATTCATAACATGTTAAGTTTGGGATGCATTTAGGAGAATTTGTAAGCATGGGTTTGAAACCTAAGGACCAGTTTTAGTTATTGCATTTTGAAGGAAGGTAAACACACAGAAGGCGATGAGATGCCCCACCGAGCAAAGAGGGAGAAAGAAGGCTGGGAATGGGATCCTGGAGAGGCCCAGGTTAAAGAGGAGGGAATATGCAGAGGAGAGTCAGAGGTGTGGGGAGTAAAAGTAAAGGGGAGAGTGTTAGCAAGTAGGAGCTTGTCAACAGTGCGCCTGCGGGTGAGCCTGAAGAGAGGATGCATTGGGTAAGTGACAGCCATCTGAGACGCCAGGCAGAGCTTGTGATGCTGTGGCTCTGCTGACTCTGCTTGACCATAAAATTTAACTACACAGTATTCAAACTTTTAGCTAGAAATACAAATCATTAAGGGCAAAGAATCAGGTTTTGTATTTTTCATGAGTGCTATGTATAGTTCTATCCCAGTCCTTGAATTAATCAGGACCTTGCCTAAGAAATAATCTACCAATCACTTGGTTTAAGGCAAACTTAGGACTTGAACCTATTTGTATTAATGAAAGGGTAAGCTGTGTATTTCATTCATGGGGATAGAGGCAAACCTACTGCCTTGGTGATTTTTCAGCATCTGAGTACAGTTGGAGATAGGCTTGTGTGTCTGCTAGGAAGTTGAGGTGCACTGTGACTTGGACAGAGGATGACTATTTAAAACTCCGCTTACTCAGCTAATTTATACAGCTTGTAGCGAGCAGCATAATCTACACTTGAAGCCCTTTTGTATAGTAGCTGCTCAGGAAGGTTTGCTCACATAAACAAGTAGATTATATCTCCTAGATTCTTACCCAGAATTAAATCTAAGCCATGGTTTGCTTTTGCTCTTTTAGTTTGCTGCAAATCTAACACCACATGAAAGTTTCTTATATCAAATAGAAGAAAAATCCAGAACTCAGAAACAGGTTTTCAAAGGTTTTTCAAAGCATGATGTTTGACAGTTAAATACTCTATTATGGAGACATCATAATCAGTTTCTGTCAATAGTAGTATTCCTTAATGTTTTAGAGAAGATTGTACCCCCCCCCCCAAAAAAAAAATAGGATGTCCACCATGTCTGGAAGTAGCTTGTAACTAACAGCATTTTTAATGTCAAATTATGCATGAAATCTACATTCATCTTTGGCTTTGTTTACTAGGATCCATGTTCTCACAAGCTATGAAGAAATGGGTGCAAGGAAATACTGATGAGGTAAATTCTACTTTTAGTGTAAAGATTCCCGTTTGTAAGCAGCACCTTGTCTAATTAAGGTTTCAAGATTTCTCTTTCTTTAGTTGCCATGTTGAGCCAGCGTGGCACATCATTACTCCCTTATCCAGAACGTAACAAGAAAGGGTGGGCCTTCTTAACAACTCATAATTGCCTGGTGGAGGCTATGGAGGTATCTTCAGCCCAGAGATTCTGGCCACTGACAGATAACCTTGTAATTAAGTTTCTATCAAACAGCAGGCATCAGTAATCGGTGTAGACGCAAAAGCTTCCTTTCTCACTGTCATTTTTACTTTCAGGAATGGAGGCCTCCTTTTTGAATAGTAAAGTACATTGAGAGATGGGAGTAGAGAAAGAAAAATGTTTTTGTTTTGAGAACTAACATGAAGATTGTGTCATGTCAGGTACCGGTAGCTGATTTTGGACGACAATGAGTAGCATATTAATATATCATAGCCAGCCCTAACCGGTTTGGCTCAGTGGATAGAACATCAGCCTGCGGACTCAAGAGTCTCAGGTTTGATTCCGGTCAAGGGCATGTACCTTGGTTGCGGGCACATCCCCAGTAGGGAGTGCGCAGGAGGCAGCTGATCGATGTTTCTCTCTCATCGATGTTTCTAACTCTCTATTCCTCTCCCTTCCTCTCTGTAAAAAAATCAATAAAATATATTTTTTTAAAATTTATTTAAAAAAAAATATATATATATATATCTCATAGCCAGAGGGTGGCCCAGGTTCTTTCAGACATGGCAGTGTGCTTATCTAAACAGGTAGAAATTATATGCATATACAGTTGTGTTTAGAGCACTGAAATGTATGTCTTGATTCTTTCAATAAATAACTGTTATCAACAGTTTCAATTATTTCTTGTAGGCCCAAGAAGAGCTAGCTTGGAAGATTGCTAAGATGATAGTTAGTGACGTTATGCAGCAAGCGCAGTATGATCAGCCATTAGAGAAGTCTACGAAGGTAAGGATGGTTTTTGTTCTGATGTAGCTTGTTTAAAACTGAAAAGCGTTAGATTCCAGGTTCTATGTATTTTAAAAAAGACATAAAAGAGCCTCTGCTCTGCCTTTGAAGGATGAATTACTACAGGAATTACCCTCTCATCATAAACAACTAGAGAACTGGCAAACTAAATGAAACAACTATCTCCAGATATTGGGCAACAGGAAGGAGAGGGCTGTAGTCCTTAAAAGACGGATAACATTGAGGTGATCCATAGCTCACTTCTCAGAAGCAATTTCTAAAGTGCAGGTAGGGGAAAACCTAACAGAGTTCATAGTCTTGCTAAATGGACGAGTCATAAACTGAACTGGAGAGCCCAAGCCAGGGTGGTTAGAAGTCATAGAACAGGATACCAGAAAAGGAGCTACACAGAAAGAAGGCTCCAAAGATATTTAGAGAGGTCCCTTCAAGCCTTGGTTGTGTACATGTGTTGGGTGAAAATGTCCATGGCCAGGGAAAGAATACTGGAAATTAACATGCTAAACAACTCCTGGAACATGGGGCTAGGAATAGTTGACGTTCTTACTAACCGTTGTGGACAGATCTTGTAATACACAAGTCATTGGGTAGTGTCCTCGGAAACATGCCTTACTATCTGAGCTTATTTAGCTCTAGAATAAAGCACCTTAACCAAGCTTAAAAGCAGTTTTTGGAAGGATCAAACTGCTCTGTAACTAACAGCTGCATGCCAGAACAGAGGCCAACCCTCCTTAAATGAACAACAAAATTCAGCACTTAACAGTATAAAAATACAATGTCTGACATCCCATCAAAAATTACCAGGGCCCTGACCGGTTTGGCTCAGTGGATAGAGCGTCGGCCTGCGGACGCAAGGGTCCCGGGTTCGAGTCCGGTCAAGGGCATGTACCTTGGCTGCGGGCACATACCCAGTGGGGAGTGTGCAGGAGGCAGCTGATCGATGGCTCTCTCTCATCGATGTTTCTAACTATCTCTCTCCCTTCCTCTCTGTAAAAAATCAATAAAATATATTTTTTTAAAAATTGACAAAGGACCTGTTTCCAAAGGCGACATACACATGGTTAACAGGTACATGAATATCACTAATCATCGGGGAAATGCAAATTAATTACAACCACAGTGAGATACTACTTTACATCTGTTAGGATGGCACTGAAGAAAAAGACATGAGATAAGTGTTGGTGAGGATATAGAAAAGAGGAAACCCTTGTTCACTATTTGTGGAAATGTAAATTGGTACAGCCACTTGGAGGTTCCTCAAATAATTAAAAATAAAACTACCACATGATCCAGCAATCCCCCCTCTAGAAATATATTTGAGGATATCTTGAAGAGGTATCTGCACCTCCATGTTCATTTCAGCATTATTCACAATAGCCAAGATATGGAAATAATCCAAGTGTTCATCAACAGATGAATGGGCCAAGAAAATATGTGCGTGTGTGTAATGGCATATTATTCAGCCAAAACAAGGAATGAAATCCTGCCATTTGTTAGAATGTGAATGGATGTTAAGGACATTATGCTAAATGGAACAGTCAGATGGAGAAAGAAATGCTGTGTGATTTTACTTTCATGGAATCTAAAAAGTTGAACTCAGCCCTGGCCTGTTTGGCTCAGTGGATAGAGCGTCGGCCTGCGGACTGAAGGGTCCCAGGTTCGATTCCGGTCAAGGGCATGTACCTGGGTTGCGGGCACATACCCAGTGGGGGGTGTGCGAGAGGCAGCTGATTGATGTTTCTCTCTCATCAGTGTTTCTAACTTTCTGTCCCTCTCCCTTCCTCTCTGTAAAAAGTCAATAAAATATATTTTAAATAAATAAATAAATAAAAATAAAAAGTTGAACTCATAGAAACAGAGTAGAATGGTGGTTATCAGGTGCTGAGGGTTTGAGGAAATGGAGAAACATTTGCCAAAGAGTACAGCCGTCTAGTTAGTTATAGGAGGAATTTGTTCAGGGGATCTAATGCACACCATGGTGACTATAGGTAACAGTTTTGTATTATATACTTGGTTGCGTATAGAGTAGATCTTAAATATTCTCACTATTTAAAAAAATAATTATGGCCCGGCCAGCGAGGCTCAGTGGTTGAGCGTCGACCTATGAACCAGGAAGTCACAGTTAAACTCCCGGTCAGGACACATGCCCAGTTTGCAGGCTTCATCCCCAGTGTGGGGCCTGCAGGAGGCAGCCAGTCAATGATTCTTACCATTAATGTTTTTTTTTCTCTCTCTCTCTTTCTCTCTCGCCCTCTTCCTTCCTCTCTAAAATCAATTTTAAAAAATATATATTTTTAAAAAGCAGATTCTATATTTTAAAAATAATAATTATGTAAGGTGATAAATATAATAACTAATCTTATTGTGGTAATCATTTTGCATTACATATGTGTATCAAATCATGTTACATGCCTTAAATTTACATGATATCAGTCAAATTGCAGGGGCAGGGAGATAAAAGGAATTGAATTTGTAGTTAAAAACCTTTTCACAAAGAAAACTCCAGGCCTAGATAGAATTTAAAGAAGAAATAGTACCAATTCTAGACAGACTTCCAGAAAATTAAAGAGGTAATATTTTTTAGTACATTTAATGAGGCCAGTATTACCGTAACACCAAACATCAAAGACATTACAAGAAAAGAAACTATAGATTAATATACCTCATGAACATACATGTAAAATCCTTAACAAATATAAGGAAATACATCAGAAATATATAAAAAGGATAGTACATTTCAGGAAAGCAAGGTTGTTTTGATATTTGAAAATCAGTTATAGTAATTCATCATAAAAACAAAAACATGATCATCTCCATCAGTGGTTCTCAACCTTCCTAATGCTGAGACCCTTTAATACAGTTCCTCATGTTGTGGTGACCGCCAACCATAAAATTATTTTCGTTGCTACTTCATAACTGTAATTTTGCTACTGTTATGAATCGTAATGTAAATATCTGATATGCAGGATGTATTTTCATTGTTCGCGACCCACAGGTTGAGAACCGCTGCAATAGACGCAGAAAAAAATTGACAAAAATCAACAGTCATTGATTACAAAATTATAAGGAAACAAGGAACAGAAAGGAACTTCCTAAAACTGATTAAACTGACAGCTAAAATCATATTAATGGAAAAGACTGAATGCTTCTATTTTTTTTTAAATCTTAATTGTTGAAAGTAGTACATACATCCCCTTTTCCCCCCATAACTCCTTCTGGCCTGTCCCAGACCTTCACTACCCTATTGTCTGTGTCCGTGGGTTATGCATATATGCATACAAATGAATGCTGCTTTTTAAGCAGGAAGAAGGCAAAGATGTCCATTTTAAAACATTTGCAGTGGAGATCCTAGCCAGTGCAAGAAGGCATATTGATCATAAAGGAAGGACTAAAACTGGCTGTCTTTGCAGAAGGCATCATTATTTCTTTAGAAACTCCTCAGGCTGCTTTATCCAATATGGTAGTGACTGAGGAGCCATGTATGAATGATACAGAACATTACAGAAAGTTCTGTTGGACAGTAGTGTCTTAAGTAATCTACAAGCTATTACAACTACTAAGTTTAGCAATGCTGCATTATATAAGGTTAATATACAAAAATGAATTGTATTTCTATAGACTAGCAATTAACAATTGGACATTGAAAATTTAAAAACAATACAGTCTATAGTAGCATTGGAAACCATCAAATTCTTAGGAATATGTTTAACAAAATATGTATAAGATTTGTACAATATAAACTATAAAACAACTGAGCCAAATTAAAGATTCAAATGAAAATATCATGTTTGTGAATCAAAAGTATGTGACTAAGGTGTTATTTCTCCCGATGATGATGATGATTGAGGTATAATAGACATATAATACTAGCTTCAGGTATACAGCATATTGATTCAATATTTGTTTGCATTGGGAAATGATCCCCACAATAAGTCTACTTAATTCACCATACACAGTTACAATTGTTTTTGTAATGAGAGCTTTGAAGATCTCTTAGCAACTTTCAAATACACAATACAATATTATTAATTATAGTTACTATGTTGTACATTATTCAAGACTAGAGGCCTGGTGCACAAAATTCTTGAACAGGTAGAGTCCCTTAGGCCTGGCCTGGGATCAGGCTGATCGAGGCCTTCCTTCCCCAGCTGCCGGCTGCTGACCAGAGCCTTCCTTTAGTCCGCACCGCCCCCTGGTGGTCAGCACATGTCATAGTGAGTGGTTGAACTTCCAAGGGGACAATTTGTATATTAGCTTTTATTAAATAGGATTACTAATAGATTCAGTGTTCCAGCAGGCTTTTTTTTTTAAAATATATTTTATTGATTTTTTACAGAGAGGAAGGGAGAGAGATAGAGAGTTAGAAGTATCGATGGGAGAGAAACATCGATCAGCTGCCTCCTGCACATCTCCTACTGGGGATGTGCCCACAACCCAGGTACATGCCCTTGACCGGAATCGAACCCGGGACCCTTCAGTCCGCAGGCCGACGCTCTATCCACTGAGCCAAACCGGTTTCGGCAGGCTTTTTTTTATAGACATTGACAAGATCATTATAATATTTATTGGGAGATGTAAATGAACTAAAATAACAAAAAAAAAGTTGTGAAAAAGGAGCACAAAATTGTAAGACTAACACTGCTTGGCTTTATACGTATTGTAAAGCTACACAATCAAGGTGGTGTAATATTACATAGGGGTAGACAAAGATTGTTGAACAAATAGGGTGCAGAAGCAGACCCTAATTATGAAGTCAATTGATTTTTTATATACAGGGTGAGGCAAAAGTAGGTTTACAGTTGTGAGTGCACGAAACAAAGTTTATTCTTGTATTACTATGAATTGTATTATTTTCCATACCAACAACTGTGAACTTCCTTTTGCCCTGTATGTGCCAAGGTAATTCAATGAGAAAAATAATGTCTTTTTAGTTTACAGTATAAAAACAACTAGATATACATATGAAGAAGGGAGGAGAAAATGAGTCTTATTCCTTACAGCATATACAAAATCAACCCCAAATGGATCATAGACTTAAATGTAAGAACTAAAACTATAAAACTTATAGGAGAAAGTCTTTGTGGTTTAAGTTAGGCAAATTTCTTAGTTCATACAAAGCATGAGATATATAAGAGAAAAACTGATAAACTGAACTTCATCAAAACTAAAAACTACTCATTAAAAGACATTTTGAAGAAAATGAAAAGGCAAATTATGAACTGGGAGAAGATATTTGCCAAACATCCTTCTGATAAAGGAATTGTATCCAAAATAATATAAAGAACTTTTAAACTCATTAAGAAGAGCAACAATCTGACGGGTTTTTTTAATGGTCAAAGATAACAACAGACATTACACACAGATATACAGATGGCCAATATTCACATGCAAAGAGCTATCTCAACATCATTAGTCATTAGAGAAATGCAAGGTAAAGTCAGTGATATACAGCTACATACCCAATAGAATGGCTAAAATTAAAAAGACTGACAGTATCATGTGTTTGCAAGGTTGTAAAGCAATTTGAACTTCAGTTTGAACTGGTGGGAATGTAAAATGCTACAGCCGCTTTGAAAAACCATTTGGTAGTTTCTTAATAAGTGAAACATAAGCTACGCAGGTTTCCTTAGGGAGCTAAGTTCTTTATTGTTGGACTGATGATATTCCTCCATGAAAACTGTACCGGTCTCCTGCCCGGAGGACAAAGAGCAGACTGCTAATGTCATGTTCCGGGAGCCGCGTGGGAAAAAGCGAGAGAAGGCTCAGTGTTCATTATTTATACCCCCTCCCCCAGTTGCTCTCTTTTCAGCATAGCGCCCTTGTCCTCGGTCTTGCCTAATATACAACCCTAGATTTTAATCTGCTCAGGGGCGCAGTCTCAGATGATTCTGCCCGTGCTGGTTTTCGGGCTGATCAGGAGGGTGGAATAGCTGTAGGGCGTTAATTTCTAAAACCAGGCTTTTAAGAAACCCCTATGTTTGTGTCCACCTCCTCCCTTCACCATAAGCACTGGTGACACCAATCACCGGGCTGTGAGGAGCTCCGGGTGTAAATCAGGTTGCTTCCCAGCTTTTTTCCCTTTTCTGTTACACTCCACTTGCTTCCAGCTTTTGCAGCTTTGTTGTTGTTTCCTCTCCTGTCAGTATTTTCGTTCATCTGAAGTAGTGTGGTATTTTAATAGTGCTGTTTTAAGAAGGAGTGAATTGAATGGGCGTGATTAGGGAATTCTGACTTGCCAGGAGGTAATACTCTTTCTCTATAGCTTCACCAGCTAGTTCTAGCTTTGCTCACAAGAGCCACACAAGTAACCTTTAGAAAATTGAAGACAGCCACTTAGTTCCCTCCCAGTCTGTTCTTCAAGCCAAACATCCTCAGTTCAACCTTCAACATGTTGCTTTCTCTAACTTCAGTTGAGTCACAAAAACTTAATGTGATAGGAGAATTTCTCATCATATTTTTGTGACATCATTAAACTCCTCTATCATTTACATTACCAAAAATTAAGAATCATTAAATATGTTCAAATAACATCCCATATAACCCTCAATAGTTTGGAGGGCTTGCATTTAGATTTAGGTCCAATACCACTTTTTCCTTGTTAACTTTCTAGCCAACTTGTCACTCTAAGAACTGTCATTAACAGAGCTTGATTTAATTTTGTTAACTTTAATTTTTTAATTACAGTTGATATACAGAGCTTGGTTTAATTTTTATATTTTTACTGAGCTGATTCTTGCCAAAGCTCTGTTCAGTTTTGCAGACTCTATCTTCTTTTCTTCGTGAGGGTGATAATTTTTGTCTATATTTAATGTTATTGGCTCCATCAAACCTAGAATAGCAGAGAGCAAGATAAGGTGTATTAAGAAGTGCAAGGTAGTTGTTTTTGTGATTCCCCATTATGTTGGTGGTCAAATGTTTGTGAACATGAAAATGTTTTTTAGAAACTATTTTGGACCCTGGCAGGTGTGGCTCCGTTGGTTGGGCATTGTCCCGTGCACTGAAAGGTTGCTGGCTGGATCCCCAATTGGGCACATGCGCAGGTGGGAGGCATGCAGGAGGCAGCCAATCAGTGTTTCACTCTCACATCTATGTTTCTCTCTTCCTCCATCTCTCTTCATCTCTCTCTAAAAATACAGTCAAACCTTGGTTTTTTAATATCTCCCATCTCAAACAATGCGTTCTCAACCAAGTTGTTCACGTGGAAAAAATGTCTCAGTTACTGAAAGAGCTTGGTTTTCTGCAGCCCTTTCTGGCTGATACATCAGCATGACAAAAAGCGTCTCTCAAGCCACAACAAAGGAGAGAATGTGCTAGTATGAGTCCGTTTACCATAACATCTCAGGAAATTGTGCTGTGAATATTTTTGTGGGTTTGTTGTTGTTGTTGCTAGAGAAATGAGAACAATTTTAAAACATAGGCCATCAAGAGTGCTAATGTTGCTAAGGTGTGAAGGAAACAATGATCACAAGCAAATAGAGAGGTAGCTAAACGATTGTTGAGCCCTAGCTGGTTTGGCTCAGAGGATAGAGCATCAGCCTGCGGACTAAAGGGTCCCAGGTTCAATTCCGGTCAAGGGCACATGCCCGGGTTGTGGGCTCGATCCCCAGTGTGGGGCGTGCAGGAGACAGCTGATCAATAATTTTCTCTAATCATTGATGTTTCTATCTCACTCTCCTCCCTTTCTCTCTAAAATCAATAAAAATATATTTAAAAAACAAAACTGTTATTGATTTGGATAAATGAAAAGCAGGTAGCCAGTGACAGCAAGAGAAGAAGCCACCTGCTGAGTCATGAAAGATACTCCTGGAATGAGTGCTGGAAGTGATTCCTTTAAGCAGCGGTTCTCAACCTTCCTGATGCCGCGACCCTTTAATACAGGTCCTCATGTTGTGGTGACCCCCAACCATAAAATTATTTTCATTGCTACTTCATAACTGTAATTTTGCTACTGTTATGCATCGTAATGTAAGTATCTGAAATGCAGGATGTATTTTCATTGTTACAAATTGAACATAATTAAAGCATAGTGATTAATCACAAAAACAATATGTAATTATATATGTTTTCCGATGGTCTTAGGCGACCCCTGTGAAAGGGTCATTCAACCCCCAAAGGGGTCGCGACCCACAGGTTGAGAACCGCTGCTTTAAGGCTAGTAAGGGTGGTTCGATAAATTAAAAAATGAAGTGTTTGTTTATAGATTAAATAGTGCATTAGACTTTTACTGTATATAAAAAAGGTTAAAACAGAATTGTTTGGAGGTCTGGAACGAATTAATTGACATTATTTCTAACGGGGAAAAATGGTTTTGTTTTTGAACAAATCACTTCTTGAACAGCCTTCCAGAACAAATTAAGATCAAGAACTGAGATTCCACTGTATTGAAAAAAGAAAATAAACCATTTTGGAAAGCAGATGTATAAAATTAGGCTTTTCATTCGAGGTATATTCAGATGTTATTACCATGTGCTTTCATGTTTAAGGTGCACAGATATATTTTGCAGTATTGGGTGTTTTAGGCTTGCTGGGCCTTCTCGTTGGCCGGCCTCTCGGGACCAGCAGTGACTGGTGTGGGAAAGCATGAAGCCAGCAGCACTGGCTCACCAGGAGCACGTTTTAGTCAGTACGTGTGACCTTTTGCAAATGACTGTCCTTTTCCAGTCTCTTATTTTCTTACCAGAAATCAGAGAAATTGGACAAGAAAAATCTCTTAAGATCCCCTTCTCTCATTCCATGATTTTATGAACGTGAGAAGTCCTCTTTATCCTGTGTTGCTACCTCTCTGCTTTGAATCTGCTACTCTGCATTTGCCTGAAGAGTACTTGGCATTGAACATAAACTGCCTTACAAGCATTACTGAATTGTTTCCTGTGTGGATGTCCCATCTCACAAATAACACGGACCATGATGTCTTCTGTGATGTTTGTCTCCTCCCAGTCCTGCGAGCAAACAGGCACTCGGCCTCACGAGTGTGGTCATTTTTTCTTCCGGGGGCATTTGACTTTCATATCGTGGTTCTTCCTTCACTTAATGAATCCGCTGAGCGCGGACATTTAGGTTGTTTTGGGTTTTTCCCTGTTACAAACAATATTCTAATGAGAGTCTGTATATGTAAGTCCTTGCCCTCTCTTAGGAGTATGCTGTTGGGTTCATTCCTAGAGGCAGAATTAGTCTGTCAGGAAGTAGATATTTTGTTCTAATATCTATTGCCAGAACGGAAAGATAAAAGCAATTCTGGGTGCCAGCCCTTGTTATGTAGTAACCTTAGGATAAGTTACTTAACCTCTTTAAACTTTCATTCACACATTTGTAAATAAAGATAATTGTAGTGTTTTACCTCACGGGTGGTAGTCGGAACTGGTGTGTAGTAACCTTCACTAAGTGCTGGTTCCCTTCTTCCTTAGTCTGTAATATCCTGTATCCCTGGTTATAGAAACGTACCTGACCTTTTTCTTTTTCTTTTTTTCAGCTATGACTCAATCCCTGAGATAAAGGAAATCTGCTTTTGAAAAATAAGAACGTTTTTCCTTTGGTTGGATTTCTGACACAGCCAATGAAAACAGAGCTCTGTTTCCTTTCTCTGATGTATCAGCTGTTGTTCCCAGCAAGAGTGGCAGACAATCCTGGACTTCCACCATCAGCAGAGTGACACGTAGACGTATTTGCTGCACAAGATGTTCACAAGCGAAAGTCATAAAGAGACAAAGTGGTATTGTTTACATTACTAGAAAATTAGTAGTTTTCTAATGGCAATAACCCATTTATGAGAGAGTTTTAGTCCACTGGGACAGACAGGGACCACCTACTGTGGCAGGCAGGGAAGTGTAGAGCTGATAGTGGATGCACATTCTGTAGTGGTCGCCCACCCTTAACGGCATCGTAAAGTGGGTACCAGAGGTGCTTTGCTTTGGCCTCTTGAAACAAGTGGTAGTCGGCCCCTCCGAGCGGGCCGGGCAGCTGGGGTGGCGGTGCGGTGCTCAGACCCTGTTCCTCAGTGGCACGGGGCGAGGCTCACTGTGTAGTCTGCCTGCACAAAGGCATTGGTTTGGAAGGAAGCTGATATGTCACAGGTCAAGTCCAAGTGACATTGTCCTTCTTTTTGGCAACACTATCCAATTTTCACATTTTCATGGCTCCTGAGATGCAGTATACTTACAGCCGGTCTCTCCCCTGCTAGCCACAGGGCGAATCTCCTGTGCTGCTAGCATTAGGACTTCTCCGCGGGAGTTCTGTGCTCCAGGTCATCTAACTTCCCTTCAGAAAACATCATAACGGTCACTCCAGTGTCCCCCTGTGGGACCTTGAGCAATTTTTATTGCTGGATTGTATGTTGTTGTTTTTTAAGAAGGTGAGAGGGCAGGGTCTGGGGGGGAGGAAAAGCACTCACTTTTAATTGTCTCCTCTTTCTTTGCTCTGAGCTGGAAAGTATGCAGTGGGTGGCCTCCCTCCTGCCTGTCTCTAGGACAGTAAGAGACTGCCTCACTGCACTTCTGCTCCGTTAGCTCCTGGGTCTGCTGATGGGCTGCCACATTGGCGAATGCACTCCGCTGGCCAGGCGATGCAGTGGTTCCCACCACATAAGACTGTCTGAGAGGAAAGAAAAACACACACAAAAAAAAGATTTAAAAAGTATATATAAATATATGTAATTATTAATCACCTCTGTCCTTGAGAAAGTCTTGAATGAATAGAGAATTTATTCCACTGCAAT